GTCTACATACAGGTCTTGGATCAATAGAATCCTCCGGAAAAATAGCGGGTTAGTCTCCTTGCCATTGGCTACTGTCTTTGAAAGTCTAGCTTATCCTCTCCTTTCATGCGTAGTTTTATTCTGCATTGCTCTCCTTCTTCTGATCTTGCTTTTCTTGCCTATAGAACTGACCTTTGGTCCCCTCCTTCCGGTTTTCACTCACTTAAATCCATCCTTGCTCTTGCCCTATTCTAGGCTTGAGACGAAAGAGCTCATTCATAGATTCCATCTTTTAGCATTCATGTCAGTCTTCCTTCAACTCTAATGCTATGCCATGAATGTTAAGTTCTTCTATAATAGCTATTGGCGCTCTTCTCAACCTCCCCTAGAGCTATTGAAGAAAAAATCCGAGGCTGCCCTAAGCCCTACAGTTTCCTTCGCTTACCGCCTAAGTGAATCGATTGCCTCCCCTCCCTCCACGAGTAGATATTTAGTATTGAATAGTGGTCAAACCCGCAAAAGTCAAGAAGAAAACTCAGGAACAGGAAAGAAAGGCAGAGACAGGAGAACGCTAGGGTGATAGCCCTATAGATGAGTATAGGATAGGGAGCACTCCGCTACACTCATTAGGGAACAAACACCCTCCTAACTACTATGAGTTAAGCAACTAATGGACAGACCAGACCGCATAAGACTACTGGCATATAAAAAGAGAAGGATTCACGGGAGTGAAGGCAACCAAGGGAGAGGAATCAGTTCCATTGTCAATTCCGAAGCTAGCGTCTCCTGGTAAGACCAGATCACCTTAAATTCTTTTTTGTTGAGGTTCTGGCACTTCTCTTCCTCCGGCGCCTATCTACATAGCGAAAAAGGCAAAGGCTCTTGCGCGAATGCGTGACTTATGTCTCTTTTCCATTTAAAAAAGTAAGATGAATCTACGCTCCTCGGCCTATAGTAAGTGAATGAGAGGGTATGGGGTTCCGGGTCTTTTTCCAGTCAAAATTGACTAATAGGCATCCCCTTCCGTGATAATGTGAAAGACTCAATTCCTTCTTTCTTCTTCCCCAGCGAATGTAGCAGAACAGCCTTCCCGCAGTCGCATTAAGGATATTTTTCTTGAAACTCTTTACTCCCGTAGCAAGTACTCATTTCTATTTAGTTGTTTTCTTACTCTATCCGGCTATTGAACCTGGTTTCCCTCTGCATATGCTAATAGAGAGTTAGACAGCTTAAGAGCTCCTCAAAGGGCTAGTTCTCACTCTGGTTTGGGGACCCCCAAGACTGTCTTTCCCCTAGTCTATATAGGTCCAATCTCATCTGCTAGCGCTTCTTCGTTGCTTGGTCGGGACACATTCATCGATTTCTTTTCGGGCTTGCAAGTGACTTACTTCTTTTGCCCGTTCTTGCTGTCTTAAGTCGTCCTCTTTTCTTTAGAAGCTGTTAATTTCTTTCCTGCCTGCCCTAAGGCTAAGGGGAGAACTGCATGTACTAATAGTCGGATAGAAGCCTACCAGCCTACCTTGTTCATATCGAGCCGGACAGGAGAGACCCTCTTTCAAGTTAAGAGAAGCAATTCCGCTTGAAAATAGGCGCTGTAAATCAATTCAAATAGATAGGGGAGTTCCGAACCAGCAGCAAGCCCTTTCTAATGTCCTAGGCGAAGGCAGTGCAGGTGAAAGCCCAATAGATCCCATTTTTTTGATCGCTCCACACATAGCTCACGACCCGGCACGAAGAAATCTCTTAGATGGGGCGGATGCGAATCTGGATCTATCAACGGAGCAATTCCATTCCAGTCGTAGTCCTCAATCCCATATTCAATGTGCCGTCTCCGCCGTGTCTGACCCCCTCAATCTTTCTATCCGGAGTGAGTCAGGCGGCTAAGAAGCCTTTCATCCTGATAAAAGAAAGAGTTTTCCCACCCTCCATAATGGAATCGGTTTGAGTGAATTACTTACCGCAGTCAAAGCCAATAGGGAAAGTCAGGTCAAGAGAGAGTCTCTCGATTTCCGAGTAGTGCATCTCGCACTTCCAATTCATTCCGAGTTAGAAAAAGTAAGTTCCTTCCCGGGTAAAGTCCTCTTAAATGGATTACTATTCCTTCCTTCCCAATCAATGCTAACTCTATCTTCCTCTCTTGTAATTTAGGAGATTTCCCCAGCCCATAAAGAACTGTAGTTACATAAGCTCTCAAAAGATAAAAAGAGAAAGAGATATGACTTCAAGTAAGAAAGTGAAAGTTCAGTCCTCACCGCCAAAAAGAAGACAGCAACAATCCGTACTACTTCTCTCAGTAAATAACATTCTCTAGTTAGAGAGTAAGTAGATAGACGGATTAGTACTTTTACCCAGGGTAGCCTTCCTGTCGCCAAAGAAGAATGAAGAATGATAAAGTTTTCTTGGGCTTCAATAGCAGAAGCAAAGAAGTCAAATCAATGCAGCTTTCGTGCCAGCCTAAAGATCCTATCCTCGCAGCAGCTGGAGCTCTTGATGGCACGTTCAAGCGAGTTTATGAATGAAT